TCGGATTTAGAAACATTAAAATGACTGTGTTCGTTATTACACCCAAGAACAGAACACCACAATCGCTTAGACGCCATTCTGCTCATAGACAGTGCTCCAGCATATCAACAATGACCGCGCCGGTCCGCGCCGCGCAGACTATGATTGACAGCTCCCTCACGAGCGAGGGCGGGTCTGTGTTGAAACGCGGCTGTCATTCAACAATCGTGGGAGGGGTGTGCGAGCTTGTGACTTCACACGGTCGAACGGCTCGATTTGAGGCAGGGGAAAACATATAAGGAGATTAAAACTAACACTGGATGGATTTTTATCATTATATGATGGTTGTGTACAGGCACTGCCAACACACATTTCAGTACAATCAACTTGTAAAAGTGCATGTACCATTAAATGAGCCCTTTAACAGCTTTTTTGTTTGTACTGTCCTTAATAGAAACCATATAGTGTTCTAATTCTTTCAATACCACAGAAAAAAGAGGTTTCTGATTGTTAAATTTACACCGATGAATATGGAACTTAACAAAATAATCACCAAATTAATAATATACGCTTCATTTTCCATACTTTTTTCATATTTTACAAAACCAAATACATGTTCATTTAACAAAAGGAAGTTGCAGTCCAATTTGTCATTATTAAATTTAGAAACTTCCCACCATAACCTCTTTGTATACTGACAGTGCCAAAAAAATATGAGGTACAGTTTCTGGTTGCAAAAAAAAACAAAACGAACAATTTACATCTATATCTTTGTTAAATTTGGATAGAAAATGTTTAGCAGGGTAAAATTTGTGCAATATCTTAAATGAAATTTCCTTGACCTTATTTGTAATGATATATTTATTAGGCAACAGCCATATCTTACTCCAATTTATAGTTCCAATAAACCTTGACCAATAGGAAATGACATGTGGTTTACTAACTAGTTCTTTCTGAAAAAAGTGAACGTATAACCTTATTGTTTTTGCTTGTCAAAAAACAAATTTTACCACAAAACGTATCAGCTAGATGCAGTACAGGCACACGTTTAGAGTATGTAATACCTCTACATAAAGAGACAACACCTGGAGAAATAGCACCAATTACAGAGGCAAATTCTTTAGGCGAAACAGGGAAATTGAAGTATGAAAGGAATTCATCATAAGTCATCAAATACCCTTGACAATTCAACAACTGTCCCAGCAAAAGGATACCCTTGTCAAACCAAGTTCTCAAAAATATACTCTTATGCTTGTACAAAATATTATAATTATTCCATATGTAATAATGATGTGGTGAAAAATTATGCTTGTAAATTAACTTCCAAGCCAAAAGTGCTTGCCTGTGAAAAGCAGACAGCTTAACTGGGAGTTTTTCAGTTTTATAATCACACATAAGCAAAAACGGAAGGCCACCAAGTTTGTCAAAAACCGAATTAGAAAACATATTCCACATAGAATTAGTGTTTTTTAGAAAATATTTCAACCAGTTAATTTTAAAGGTGTTATTTAAGATAGAAAAATCCAAACAATCAAGCCCCCCATTTTTATAAGAATTAACAATTACAGATTTTCTAATATAATGTATACGGTTTTTCCACAAAAAGTTCAGCATAATTTGATCAATTATCTTAGTTAATTTATTATCCGTATGTATTGAGGTAGCTACATAAGTAAGCCTAGAAATACCTTCCGCTTTAGCCAATAAAACACGAGTGACAAGTCTCTCTGTAACCAAATATTAAATCTGTTCTTTACTTTTTTAATCACTGGATCAAAATTTTGTGAGATTCTCTCCTTCTCATTTTTAATAATAACCATACCTAAATAAGTTGGAGCATCCTTAACAGGAATATTACAAATTGTTTTGTCTTGGCAGCTTTTTAAGGCAAACAGTTCACATTTATGTAAATTCACTGGAGGCACTGGAAAAAAATTCCAATGAGCTTGACAGCTGACTGGATTTGATCAACATTTTTCAGGAAAAGAGCTGTGTCATCAGCCAACTGACTTATCAGGACACTTCTCTCTTCAATTTGTATTCCTTTTATCTGACTTGATTTAATGAAGTGACAAAACGCCTGAGCAACAACGAGAAAGAGGTAAACAGAAACTGGACAACCTTGCCTAACTCCTCTTTCCAGATTAAATCTTTGTGTAGTGCCATTATTCAATTTCACAGAACTATTTCCACCTGCATAAAGAGTTTTCATGGCATTACAGAAATAAGCCCCAAAACCAAAGTGTTCTAAACAATAAAACATAAAAGGATGCTCAACAGAATCAAAGGCTTTGAAAAAGACTAAAAAAAGTATAAAGCTATCATCTTTTACAAAGTCAGAATAATCAATAAGATCAAAAATAAGTCTGATATTATTAAATATATGTCTATTTCTCATAAACCCAGATTGATTTTCGTCAATAATGGAATCTAAAACTAATTTGAACCTTTGTGCAAAGACATGAGCAAATATTTTATAGTCATCATTATTCAACAGACTAATGGGTCTCCAATTATCAATAAGCAACAAATCTTTCTTTGGCTTAGGAATCAAACACATTATACCTTGCGTCATAGTTGTAGGAAGTTGTGAGCACTTTAAGCTTTCAGAGTATACTTCAAAAAGAAATGGGGCAAGAATCTCAGAAAACTGCTTATAGAACTCAGTGGTAATTCCATCATTACCGGGTGATTTATTACATTTTAAACGTTCAATAGCTTGCTTAATTTCCGTAATCGTTACTGGGGCATCACATAATTTTGGGTCCTCTTACAGAAGTTTAAAAGAAAGATAAACAGCCATTAAACACGAAGTCATAATACAGTTGACTCAAAAATGAAAATGGTCATTTACGCCCCCCTAATGTCATTGCAAATGTAAAATGTTTACAAATGTTTTCATGTAAAACAAAATTAGAATTGAGAAGATTGTTAATTGAGTTTTTTGTTCCATGGAACAACCATTCATCTGTCAAGCTCTAGGAAACAAAAATCAAGTATTCTCTTATTTGACTACTGAATTTATGTGAAAGTTTTAAGTGAGTTATTCACTAAAATTCGACAGATCAACATTTTCACTAATGATGTTTCATAGAAAAAAACGGCATAATTCGTATTTTTCTTAATTTTGTGTTAGACAGAAAAATAACAGAATATGGGGTTGGAATAAAACGAAGTTGAATAAATTATGACAGATTTTTGTTTTGTTTTGTGTGAACTATTCTTTTAAGACAATAAATTGATAGACTAGATGTAAAATCTGCACTGAATAGCAGATGTATACTAAAACTACAGGAAAAGAGGTGAAGCACTAACAGACGAAAAGTAAATGATAGATTACTGTAATGTGTGTAAATTATCACGAACTGACGACATACTGTACAGTAACACTCTGGCACAACACATGCGATACATGACATGTTCTCTGAAACATAAATTACAAGCTATGAAAATCATCACCTGAGGCTCAATCATCCATGAACTCCTTTGTCTTCTGAAATTTCCTTTCCCAGTATATTTGTAAGCTGAGAAAACAGGGATCCTATTTGTTGTGTCATAGAGAGTTGCAAACATATATCCTGAACCTACATTTTCTGAGTCTTTTTCTTTGGAAGTATATTTTTGACAGATTTTTTTGTAACGATCATTCTCTGAGCATGGATTCAGGATGCCAGGAATCACCGGAGGCTGTCCTTGTCAGGTGAGGTGGAGGTGAAAGGAGCGAGGACTCAGGTGCAGAGATGATGGGTTCTTTAATGATAATAACAAAAAAAAATACAAACAAAACTACCCCGTAGGGAAAAACAAATGACTTGACTGACTTGGCTGACTTGACACAAGGGGTAACACCAGGTACATACGACAACAAAACAGCACAGGACTGCAAACACAGGGAGAATAAATAGGGAGACCAAACAAAGGAGGTAACGAGGGAGGACAGGTGGGGCAAATGAATTAATAATCAGGTAACAAGATGGGAGGGGCTAGACAATCAACAGGAGAGCACATGGCACAAGGAAACATACATGACAAGCCATGTGCTCACACCAAATGTGACTTGAACAAGCACATGGCCAGTAAAACCAATCACCAGCCATGTGCTCACACAAAACGAGACATGAACACGCAGCTAATGAAAACACTCATAAGCCACGTGTTCACACAAAACATGACAACATGAAAGCACACAGCTAGTGTAAAACACAAGCTGTGTGCTACACAGCACAAGACACGAAAGCACATGAAACAAGGCACAGACAAGATAAAACAGGTGTGTCAGGGCTCTGTCAGAAAACCAAGAAATAGACTAGACAGAAGTGACAGAACCCTGACAGTCCTCTAAAGAAAAACTCTCTACATTTATCAAAAGTTTTTAGAACTTCAGACGTGACGAATGGACAGCTGAACACCAGCAGCACAGCGAGGACGCTCACGATGGACAGACGCATATTCACCTGTGTTCACGCAGACTAAAGAACAAAAATAAAGCTGAAGTGGTTGTAGAAACGTTAATGTTTGTTTTAGAGCAAACTTTAGTTCCACAAAAAGTTCAGTCAGCCTCTGTTCTTGCAGACTTAAATCGTTTAGCAGCAAAAATTATGATTTTTAACACTGATGCTCACACATCTAAACCTGTGAATCCACAGACTGAAGTGTGAGTTCTTTCACACATTATACAAGCCCTACAACACTGCATCTGGAGTCACTTAGAATGACCTAAGCCCTAGAGTTTCCATTTAACTTGTCTTTTGTGACCTGGTCTGTGTGTTTTACAACTAATATTGGCAGTATTTATATAGCATTCTATCATCTTTGGTTCACTTCTTGAGTTATGCCAAAATCACTGAGACGGTTGATGTGACAATGTTCAACACATAAATAACCCATAAAGACAAGTTTTATTTTGCATGATTTGAAAGCATTTATTTGTATGGCTTTGTAAGTAGTCAAAGAAAGTAGTGTCTGAATTAATAACAGAAATCTGTTATACTTGTTATTTCATACCAACTTTACATTTAAGCTCAAAAATAGCCACGTAACCAGGCCCAAAAATCCCAAAAAGTCCCAAAAATTTTATTGGTAGACCACCATGATTGTTTCTTGACGTCTGGCTCATCACAAGCATCTGTGTTTGGAGGTGGACTTGCATCTGCTTTTAAAGGATCCAAACAGTCGCCGTTAAAGAGTGAGGTTTCTTTATTGTATATGCTCTTCAGAAAGTCCTGTAATTCCTTCAGGGTCTTTACACTGATATCATTTGTGTCCTCATCTATGTTTTCAGCCCAGTGAGCTTGAGACACATATTTGTTGCTCTTACTGTTAAAGCAGCAGAACACTGTCCACATGTGTGAGGGAATGTTTACTCTGTTATTCAATACATCTGCAGATGGTTTTTTAGTGTTCGGCACAGCTCCTGTCAACACATAGGCTGAGACTTCCTCACGGTTCTTTTCATCACGGCAGTGAGAATTCATGATCTCTCTAACTTTTTGCTCCATGCGGCTCCAGCTGCCACTGTTAAAGATTATGGACTGCGGCACAATATTGGTCAGTGTGAATGTAGATTCGGCAGTGTCTTCATCAGCTGCATGGCAGCACGGAAATAAGTGTCCACGACTCACATTCATTTGGTTGTTCAGATAGTCTCCATTGCAAGCCTGATTGGAACATCCTTGACTCATTCCAGCATTTGAATCTTCAAGCTACAGAACAGGTAATTGACAAAGAAAAAAAGAGACAATAATGAGTTTTTGTAAAACATAAAAAAAAAAGAAAAAAAAAAGGAAATTGCATCCTCACCTGTGGCTCTGTCCTCCATTTAGATTTAGGTCGTTTCCCTGTATGATGCCCAGTATATTTGTAAGCTGAGAATAAAGGGATCTTATTTGTTATGTCGTAGAGAGTTGCATATCTGAAAATGTTCTTATATTTTTGACAGATTATTCTATACACATTCTGATTCTTTGAGACTGATTTCTCCAGAATGCCAGAAATCATTGGAGGCTCTTTTAAAAAAAACTGTTTGCAAGTTTCGAATGAATCTACAACATCAGTCATGATGAACGGAAAGCCAAACACCAGCAGCATCGAGACGACAAACACACGCATCTTCAGCTGTGAAGGTTATTCAGGATGTGAAGAACACGAAGGTTATTCGGGATGTGAAGAACATGAAGGTTATTCAGGACGTGAAGAACACGAAGGTTATTCAGGACGTGAAGAATACGAAGGTTATTCAGGATGTGAAGAACACGAAGGTTATTCAGGATGTGAAGAACATGAAGGTTATTCAGGATGTGAAGAACACGAAGGTAATTCAGGATGTGCAACTTCCAGAAAGAAACCCTCTGCTTTATAGACATGCTATCTATTCTTTATCTATCTTTATTTTTTTTATCTGTGGATCCCCTAAGTTGTGACTGTGTCCAGTTCAGATGTTCAACTGTAAGGCAAGTACAGGCCGCAGAATTTACATTGTACATTTACATTAACATTCATTCCTTAAAATACAGTCATTGATATCTGTGTAAGGCTAGGCCAATAAAAATTCATTCTTATCTCATGGAAATATAACTCTTAGTATATGACTGGAGTTCAGTCAAACAAAGAGGAGAACGTGCCTTTGCTGTTGCGGGTCCTGAAACTCTGGAACAGTTTATTAGTTCACATTAGGTCTGCACCTACATTACAGATTTTTTAAAATGTACTCACTTTTTTTTCCTATTTCTTTTAATGTCCCTTGATGATTACATTTGTATTTGCTTTCAGTTTTTTTTATTTTTTTTTATTAAATATACATTGTCCCTTGTTTTATTTGGGATTATGTTATATACAGGTCCTTCTCATAAAATTAGCATATTGTGATAAAGTTCATTATTTTCCATAATGTAATGATAAAAATTAAACTTTCATATATTTTAGATTCATTGCACACCAACTGACATATTTCAGGTCTTTTTTTGTTTTAATACTGATGATTTTGATTAAAAAAATTAGCATATTTCATCCGACCAATAAAAGAAGTGTTTTTAATACAAAAAAAAAAAGTCAACCTTCAAATAATTATGTTTAGTTATGCACTCAATAGTCAATACTTGGTCGGGAATCCTTTTGCAGAAATGACTGCTTCAATGCGGCGTGGCATAGAGGCAATCAGCCTGTGGCACTGCTGAGGTGTTATGGAGGCCCAGGATGCTTCGATAGCGGCCTTAAGCTCATCCAGAGTGTTGGGTCTTGCGTCTCTCAACTTTCTCTTCACAATATCCCACAAATTCTCTATGGGGTTCAGGTCAGGAGAGTTGGCAGGCCTCCTGCCAACTCTCATTCTTATCTCATGGAAAATTCATTCTTATCTCATGGAAATATAACTCTTAGTATTTGACTGGAGTTCAGTCAAACAAAGAGGAGAATGTGCCTTTGCTGTTGCGGGTCCTGAAACTCTGGAACAGTTTATTAGTTCACATTAGGTCTGCACCTACATTACAGATTTTTTCAAATGTACTCACTTTTTTTTTCTATTTCTTTTAATGTCCCTTGATGATTACATTTGTATTTGCTTTCATTTTTTTTTATTTTTTTTTATTAAATATACATTGTCCCTTGTTTTATTTGGGATTATGTTATATACAGGTCCTTCTCATAAAATTAGCATATTGTGATAAAGTTCATTATTTTCCATAATGTAATGATAAAAATTAAACTTTCATATATTTTAGATTCATTGCACACCAACTGACATATTTCAGGTCTTTTATTGTTTTAATACTGATGATTTTGATTAAAAAAATTAGCATATTTCATCCGACCAATAAAAGAAGTGTTTTTAATACAAAAAAAAAAGTCAACCTTCAAATAATTATGTTTAGTTATGCACTCAATAGTCAATACTTGGTCGGGAATCCTTTTGCAGAAATGACTGCTTCAATGCGGCGTGGCATAGAGGCAATCAGCCTGTGGCACTGCTGAGGTGTTATGGAGGCCCAGGATGCTTCGATAGCGGCCTTAAGCTCATCCAGAGTGTTGGGTCTTGCGTCTCTCAACTTTCTCTTCACAATATCCCACAAATTCTCTATGGGGTTCAGGTCAGGAGAGTTGGCAGGCCAATTGAGCACAGTAATACCATGGTCAGTAAACCATTTACCAGTGGTTTTGGCACTGTGAGCAGGTGCCAGGTCGTGCTGAAAAATGAAATCTTCATCTCCATAAAGCTTTTCAGCAGATGGAAGCATGAAGTGCTCCAAAATCTCCTGATAGCTAGCTGCATTGACCCTGCCCTTGATAAAACACAGTGCACCAACACCAGGAGCTGACATGGCACCCCAGACCATCACTGACTGTGGGTACTTGACACTGGACTTCAGGCATTTAGGCATTTCCTTCTCCCCAGTCTTCCTCCAGACTCTGGCACCTTGATTTCCGAATGACATGCAAAACTGAGCAACAGTCCAGTGCTGCTTCTCTGTAGCCCAGGTCAGGCGCTTCTGCCGCTGTTTCTGGTTCAAAAGTGGCTTGACCTGGGGAATGCGGCACCTGTAGCCCATTTCCTGCACACGCCTGTGCACGGTGGCTCTGGATGTTTCTACTCCAGACTCAGTCCACTGCTTCCGCAGGTCCCCCAAGGTCTGTAATCGGTCCTTCTCCACAATCTTCCTCAGGGTCCGGTCACCTCTTCTCGTTGTGCAGAGTTTTTTGCCACACTTTTTCCTTCCCACAGACTTCCCACTGAGGTGCCTTGATACAGCACTCTGGGAACAGCCTATTTGTTCAGAAATTTCTTTCTGTCTTACCCTCTTGCTTGAGGGTGTCAATGATGGCCTTCTGGACAGCAGTCAGGTCGGCAGTCGTACCCATGATTGCGGTTTTGAGTAATGAAACAGGCTGGGAGTTTTTAAAAGCCTCAGGAATCTTTTGCAGGTGTTTAGAGTTATTTAGTCGATTCAGATGTTTAGGTTAATATCTCGTTTAGAGACCCTTTTCATGATATGCTAATTTTTTGAGACAGGAATTTGGGGTTTTCATGAGCTGTATGCCAAAATCATCAGTATTAAAACAATAAAAGACCTGAAATATTTCAGTTGGTGTGCAATGAATCTAAAATATATGAAAGTTTAATTTTTATCATTACATTATGGAAAATAATGAAATTTATCACAATATGCTAATTTTTTGAGAAGGACCTGTATGTTATATTTCCTTTGCCTTTTCTGATGTTTGATCTTTGATATAATTGTCTTTGTTGTCACTTGTGAATTTATTTTTCTACTTCTTTTGCCTTTCTGATATTTTATTCTAATATTGTGAAGCACATTGGCCAGCTGTCAATGTTTTAATTGTGCTATATAAATAAACTAATATTATTCTTTAACTTGTGTTCTGTAAGCTTATGGACATAATACTTCATCAGAAAGAGCTGTATTGCATATGAGGAATTTGATTTGATGACAGAAGCTTCTACAGCACAAACAGAAAGACAGTGACAAGACACATAATAAAAAGAATAAAAATAGAATACGTAAAAAGGAAATAACAATTTACAAAAATATATTTAAAAAATACTCAATATACAAATATATAGACAACAGACGTTATTTACAGGTATGTACTGTATGGACAAATGCAAGAAAAATAAATAAATAATTAAGAAGTGTGGTGTGTTAAATTAATGTAGAAAGTGTTGAGTTTTACACGTTTAAGTGTGGCCATTACCTGTTCATGAGATGGATTCCCTGAGTGACTGTACTGTATATGATATCTTATTGTAAAATTAACTATGCAATGAATATATCACTTAAAAATATACATATATACGTATACATATAATTGGGGTGTTCTGGAAGACTAAATACAAAGTTACTCCGGCATCATAAACTTAATTGTCCTAATTATATTTAATTGAATCAAACACTCAATTTTTTAAGAGACTTTATATCAAGTCTGGTGGTGGGTGGGGGTGAGGGGGTGTTGTATGTGTGTATATATCAAATTTTCAGAATCAGAAATATTTGATGATATTTCCCCACATTTCCCTACAAATGAAACTTGTACTTATTAACATGGTGTACAAAATGCCCCAGGTAGCATGGGTTGGAACACTACAGCAAACAAATGGACAGTAGTTGCATTTTTGTTGATCAAATTTACAGATTTGTTTTTATACCACCCTTCATCACTCCTCAAACCTCAAGCCCATGTAATTTTTAGCATTTTATTTTAAATAGGTAAAAAAAAAAAAAAAAAGGGCTTTTAGTTTAGGTTTCACATAAGTGAGACTGTCGATTAAATTGTACAGAATTGATTTATTTGTGAGAGACATAAAGCCTGAACAATGCAATCTACTCTGGTGTGACATTCAGTGGTGAATAACTTAAGGTGTTTTGGGATGCTATTCTCATGTGCACTTTTCTTTTATGCTCTGTCATTGTCTGTTGTTTTTAAAGTTTGTGATATGTAATATTGACGTGTTGTCACCGGGTCGGGGGAGGAGTGGACGCCAGATGACCGGCCGTCCCAGCCCCCGACTCACGTACCACCGCGAGGAGCCAACACCACAGAGGACACAGAGGCAAAGTAATGTAGAAAAACACAGAATCTTTATTGAATAAATTAGGTAAAAACAACCTCAAGCAAACTGGAGGAAGGTGAGGTCTCAGCCGTATAACTGGTCCTTCTCAGGACTCTGGCAGGCAAGGAACAGGTAAGAATTATCAGCGGAACGGTTTCTCTCGGATTCACAGCAGGACTGTTTCTCTTGTTACAGGATTCGGATGACGAAGAGGAGTACGGAATCAGCCACAGAACTGGCTCTCTTCTCGGGGCTCAGACAGGCAGAGAACAGGTAAGAATTATCAGCGGAACGGTTTCTCTCGGATTCACAGCAGACCAGTCTCTCTCTTCACAGGATTCGGATGGACGGAGAGGAGTACGGAATCAGCAACAGAGCTGGCTCGCTTCCCAGGGCACCGGCGGACAGCGGACACAGGTGGGCGTGCAACAGTATAACGACTTTACTCACAGGATCCAGATGGATGGAAAGGAATAAGGATTCGACAGCAAGGCTGGCTCTCTTCACAAGGCCCAGGCAGATAGAGGGAAGATGAAGGTTCAACAGCAAAGCTGGCTCTATGCACAGGGCTCAGGCGGAGAG